TCGCGATGATGACGCTTTCCCTATAGTACATCCGGTAAAATCGTGTCATGGAGAATTTTGAACTTCCTTTTCTTTCTACACTGCACCTACAAACTTTGCCGAGGTAAGAGGAACATGTTTCTTCGCGTATATAATAAAATAAAAACATATTTACATTTTACTTTCAAAAATTATTTTATAACATTGTTTGCATTATATTATACAAATAATATGCAAAATATTTAAAATATTTTTATTTATAACTGAAAATAAGCAATATATGAGGTTAACATTCCATGTGGTCGTAACTGAAATTTCTATAATTTATAGATATTTTAATATTTGTAGTTTATATGTCCGAAACTAATAATATAGTTAGTAAAAAGCATTTTGTATCATACAATGGACAGATTAAGAGTTGAATTTTAGTGTGTACGCATACTTATATAAATCATTAATGGTATCAAAATTTTCACGATGTTCGCGTCTTTTGTACTTTCATAAACAGAATAATGAACAAATATTAGAAAACTAGGCTAATTTATATGATGATAAAATAACACGTCTGATAATCCGATAATCACGCAGACGCTAGAAATAGCAGAACCCATCTGTGTGCGGATTAGAAGATTATAAATTGCATATATGCAGTCTGATTTTGATTTTAACAAAAAGTGTTGCAGCAATAATAATGGTGAACTACTTTTTAATGAATTTTTTTTTGTTTCTAGTCCTTAAATTGTTAAACTGTCCCTACACACATTTAAAGATGGGTAGGGAGGACAAGAAAACATGGAAATCCAATTACTTTACCAAACTTGTGGTAAGTATTTTAAATACTTCATAACAAATTAAAATACTCAAACATACAATATACATGTATATCTATATTGTATCTATTTTGTATGTAGCAATTATTGGATGACTATCCCAAATGTTTCATTGTGGGTGCTGACAATGTTGGCTCTAAACAAATGCAACAAATTCGCATGTCCCTTCGTGGGAATGCTGTTGTGCTAATGGGAAAAAATACTATGATGAGAAAAGCAATCCGTGGTCATATTGAACGTAATGCAGCTCTTGAGAAACTTCTTCCACATATTCGTGGAAATGTTGGTTTTGTCTTTACTAGAGGAGATTTAATTGAAGTAAGGGACAAGCTTTTGGAAAATAAGGTCCAAGCACCAGCTAGAGCAGGTGCTATTGCACCATT